ATTTTATTACTACCGTCGTGAAATGTGATATAATGCAGAGGATGGTGCGCTGTAATCACCAAATTAAATTTTTTAGAAGGCTATTCAAAGCATGTAATTATATAACAGACAGAAGTTCCCGAATTAAATATTATTCGTTGAACTGTTTTAAGTAGCTATTCCCAGGTTTGTTTAATTATTTATTGAGTTATAATGGACCAATAGAGAAGCGATTGGAAAAAAATATGCACATTTTTATGTGAAGAAAAATATACACATTTAAAAATAAATATAATTTTAAAACTGATTTAGGTACATATGTTGCTTAATTGGTACCGATGATGATATTTTTTTACTTAAAATAAGGTATATTGTACATTTTATTTGAGAAATCTCTCCGACCTTAGTTTTTGTTTGTAGTAGTCTATTTTTTAATAATGACTTCATATATACAGGGTTGCCCATACAGAAAATAATGATTTTTTTTTAAATATAAAGTAGAGCTGTTTTGCAGAAAGCTTTCTATAGTTTTTCATCAAACTGGCATATTGGACACTTTTCAGCATTTTTAAACTTTTCTTGTTTAAAAATTCAAACTATTTGAAACTATTTTTGCCTACCAAAAAATTTCAATGAAGAAGCAAACTATTAAAAAAGGTAATCTACTTTTGCTTTCAAAATTGCAATTGACATATTTTTTATATAAATTTGACAGTTTCAAATTTAACGAGGACAATAATAGATTAATTTTTGAATTGTGAGGAAAACGTTACAATGATACGTATTCTTAATTTGTGTTTTTCAGTGTGAGATTTTTTGTTAGACAAAAATAGTTTCATAAATGCACCCCTTGACTGAGCCATTCGACACAAGGGTTTCTGTGATTCATATTTAATTTTCTTCACATAACAAAATAATCAGAAACAATATTTTTTTTATTTAAATATATAGTTGATTTTAGTTAATAACGAAAATGTTTAGTTCATAAATGGATAATTAACCTTGCGCTAGTACTAAAAATATATTGTAAAAACTATTATTTAAAGAATCATCAACGAAATCACCAACATGAGTACCCTGTATACAAAATAATCTTTTAAGTATGTAGTTATAACAAAGTATGAAAAATATAACTGAAATATACAGAGTGGGCCGTTAGTGTGAGAAAGTCCCTTGTTACTCAATACAGAAAAAAAGTTTACATAAAAGTTGTACAGAATCAAGAGACCTAAACTACAAAATTAATTTGAAACATACAGGGCGATGAGTAAAACCGGGACACGCCAAAGATTACATTTTTTAAATGAAGCACCCTGTATATTTTTAAACATATGGGTTTCCGAGAAAATTCTATATGTGGCATTATAAATAGTTTATCATTTTATTCATTTGGGGTTGCCAAGTTATGTAGAAAATTCTTCGAATTTTGGAAAAAACATGAAGTTGTATTAACTTTCAGCTACTAACACTTGGGACAAAATAATTAGACAGAGTTATAGGCAAATGTTAGACAAATATTAGCTAATATAGATATTTTATACAGGGCATTTTTTATAATACGATCATTGGTAGTGATCAAAGACGAAAATTTACCACCACTTAAGTGGCAGTTAGCTAGAGTGATAGAGTTACATTCTGGAAGTGACAATACGTGCCGCGTTGTATCAGTGAAAACAGCTAAAGGTGTGTTCAAAAGAGCCGTGACTCAGTTATGTGAACTGCCTTTTGATGACTCTAAGGATTAAAAATTGAGTTGATATTACGCTGATATGTTTGGTACACTCTTTGTATCTCTATGTTTATACTTGATTGTTGTTTATGGGTTTATGTATACCAGTATGTTGAAAGACAGGCTTTCAAGGCTGGCGGTATGGTCAAGACATAGCAGCGTTGTTTTTCGTTTTTTGTAGTAGTAGGTTGTTTACTGTCATAGTGACAAATTTTTACATATTTTTCGAGTCCGATAAATAAATCTTGCAAGCCTGTCCGATTGCTTCCCAAGTTATATACCTGCTCTAATACAAAAATACAGTCCACTAACAAAAAGGGTCTTTCATTATCAAAACAAAGTTGGTCCTTCGAGCCGGATTGGACGACTTGTGGAAAATTTGTGTACGCTGGAAAGGATACGAGTGCCAGAGGTTCTNTAGACTGCTCCGCTTTAGCTTGTGTACCTCCGGAACTTCCCGATTCCTCCGCCCTTGGAGACTCAGGACCAACGTGTAATAATGAATTATGTCTTTTGCCGCAATATCTACAGCCTCTCGAATTGCATTTTATAACCCGATGTCCCTTTTTTAGACAATTCCAACACAATTCCGCCTTACCTATTTCCTGTCTCTTTGATGCAACAGGTAAATCTATGAATTTTCTGCAGTGGTATAATGCATGTTTACCCTCTTTACAAAACCAACACACATCATCACTAGAAGCGACGAATGATTTTAGTGTAGTGTGAACCTTTTCCGTTTTTATTTTATTTTCGTTACCACCCGGTACCCTTTTTGTCTGTGCGTTTACCGTTTCCAAGAACTGACACCTTTGTTCTAAGAAACCCGTAAATTCTTCTAACGTCGAAAACTTATCTATAGACCCTTGCCGCTTCCATTCACGCCTTGTGTATGAATCTAGTTTGTTCTCTAAAATAAAAATCAACATTATGTCCCAATGCTCAACCGGCACTTTTAATGTTTTTAATGCGCGAATATCTTTTCTGACTTCATTTAGAAATTTTCTCAAATGGGTATAAGATTCTTTAATAATCGGTTCATAATTGAATAATGCTTCAAGATAACCTATAGTAATGATTTTTTTATTTTCGAACCTTTGTTTTAACAACCCCCAAGCCTCTTTATAATTTTCCGACGAAACCTCTAAATTACTTATTACTTCCGCGGCGCTACCCTTGAGACACCTTTTTAAATAATAAAATTTTTGTATGTCAGATAAGCTTGCATTAGAATCTACTAAAGTATTAAAGGTCTCCTGAAATTCACACCATTCTGTATTAGAGCCATAAAATGTAGGAATTTCCATTACAGGTAGTTTAATATCTGCGTTTAACGTTTTTTGCGGTGTGCTAGTTGGTACGAGACCTGACTCAGAACCCTCTAATTCTCTTAAACGTGCGACACAATCAAAATATGCTTCCTCGAACGAAATCCGCTCGCTCTCCTGTTTTTCCGCCCCGTATTCATCAAACTTTTCGATTTTAAATTGTACATTTTCGAATTCATTCCACAATTCCCCGCACTTCAGTACTCTAGCTGGAATCTGTTTTATCTTGTCGATAGTAAACTCCCTAATAAATGAATTGATACGCGTTAACTGTCCCTTGATAGTTGCTCGCTTACGCATAAGCTCTGTTAATTCCGCCATTGTAATAATACTCAGTTAGATGAGCTTTACGTATCAATAACCCAAATCAAAGCATGCAAAATTAACCCGGAATATGAAATCAAGGAAATAATTGGTACTGACTTTTATGCAGCCTAATTCTACCCAATATGATAAATAGTAAATACCAGTTTCCGTCCAATTTCAGTGCTACTTGTTCCTTATTTTGAGTCCGCCAATATCCGAATCAGCTGATGAATGACCTACTTAGCTCCAATTCCCTGATCTTCGCTGCCTCGGCGGAACGACTGCTTCAAGCACATGTTCCTTTTGTTTTCCTGACCCCTGGAACCTCTCTCCTCCAATCGTCGCCGTGTAGTTGCCTCAGCTATTGGCTGCAATCGATTACCTCCTACTTGTTGCTTATCCTTCTGCTGGCGCTCACGTGCAGAACCTCTGGCACTCGTATCCTTTCCAGCGTACACAAATTTTCCACAAGTCATTTGTCACTATGACAGTAAACAACCTACTACTACAAAAAACGAAAAACAACGCTGCTATGTCTTGACCAATCATTTTTAGAAACTTGATTTTCTAAATTTTTTCAAATGGAATACCCTGTATTTTATTGTTCTATTTTATCCACATATCGGTCCACTTCAACTTTTGTTAAGCATGTTCTATATCTAAAATTGTTAGTTTTTAAGATATAGCAACATTTCTGAAAAAACTTTTTATTATTTTATAGAATACCACAAATAAATATTAAATAATAAAATTAACTCAAAATGGAATGATAAATTATGAACTGACAAGTTGACACAATGTAACGTCTTTTACCAAAGCCATTTCGTGCAACCGAAAATAATAAAAAATAGGTCTTTCCAGAATTTTTGCTATATCTTAAAAATAACAACTTTAGGTGTAGAACATACTTGATAAAAGTTGAAGTGACTCATATGTGAATAAAATAGAACAATAAAATACAGGGTGTTCCATCTGAAAATCAAGTTTGAACTTTCTAAAAATGATTTTACTTTATAAAAAATGCCCTGTATAAAATATAGATATTAGCTAATATAGGAGCCTTTGCCTAACATTTGTCTATAACTCTGTCAAATATTTTTGCTCCAAGTGTTAGTAGTTGAAAGTTAATAGAACTTCTTCGAGGTCATGTTTTTTCCAAAATTTGAAGAATTTTCTACATAACTTGGCAACCCCGCACTAAAATGTTAAACTGTTTATATTGCCATATATAGAATTTTCTCAGAAATCCCTATGTTTAAAAATATACAGGGTGTTCCATTTAAAAAATGTAATATTTGGCGTGTCCCGTTTTTACTAATCGCCCTGTATGTTTCAAATTAATTTTGTCTTAAGTTTTTTGATTCTCTACAACTGTATTAAGGGAGTTATTTTACTTTCTCACATTAATGGCCTAAGCAAATCAATTGTTACGTGTTTCAGTTAAAAACTTAAGCAGATTCAGATCTAGAGCGACGCCTGGCTTACTTGAAATTATGTAATGAAGGAATCAGTATAAAGATGTCGTGAAAAAAAAACAGTTTTATTTGAATAGTACCAATAATTTTAACTTGAATATTTATTTAACCATTTAAATTAGTCAAAAATAAGTAGTCGCGTTAATTTCGTTTTCAGTTATTGATACACTTGTTTATTTCTAGCTGGAGAAATGGCGAAAACCACTTAATCTTCAACATGATCTCTGGAAGCGCTCCAGATTTCTCCCGTGTCGTGGAGCTCCACCTGGGAAATGCCCTGGTGGCAGGAGCAGGATTCGACACGTATACGTTTCGAGAAAAATTTGACGTGTCTTTGCCTTTGTTCAGTCCTGTGGCCAAATTAGGAGAAGTTGAAGGCACCTTCCATGATAGGTATTTATTATGAACTCCCTACTATCTATGTACAGATAACGATATAAAATTACTTCTTCAAATGCATATAATCAGTTTTTCTATAACTGTATCAGCATTGGTTATTTTTTCCAGTAGTAGAATTTCAGCTGTAGTAAGCCATTCACTAAGTGGTACCTATATTTTTAGAAATTTAGTCAAGTAAAAATAAATTCGACTTGATTTGGCTTGATTTTTTTACCGTTACTACTTGATTGTTGGAATTTCTTGTATATTGGTCAATAGCATCATCTGCTACTGTTACAAGAGTTTTTTCAGAGATATTCTTATTACAAAAACTCATAACATTGATTAAATACCGAAAAATATAGAAATCCTGAGGATGTTGATTTAAATCAATGAAACCTCGACGGTTATATAAATTGTTTTCTTTTCCATCAATTGACATAAAATCTAGAAAAAATAACAAGCAATATTATCCTAGTAGATAATTGTTAAATATAAAATGAATAGAAATTCTTTCGTGGTTATTTTGAGGTCTATAGAATAGTTGTTGGATTTCCGATATGATTTTTAATATAATTTTGTAATAGTTGAAATTACAAATAGTTTACATTTACTGTTTTACTTTACATCGATTAATTAATTATTTTTTTTAGGACCTGGTTAGTAACCTCATCCCAGTTAAACATAGATCCGTACTTTGCTAGCGAATTGCAAAAATTGTCATATCAGTACCACGGCTCTCTACTGATACTTGATTCCTGCCATATACACAATTATACTCAACGTTGCGAAGTCAATTCTGGTCAGAAACATGCCTACCCTCAAATCCTGCAGGATAGCGCCTTTTGTATAGTTTTTCGTGGCGAGAGAATGGGCCAGTTCGTTCTACTGGAGGCGATGGCAGCCAACTGTATTCCCGTCATTGTGATAGATGGCCACGTGATGCCATTTAATAATGTGATAGATTGGAAACGTTTTTCCATTTTTATTATGGAAAGCCATTTGAATACTCTGATGGATGTGCTCAATAACATTTCCGACAAACGTATCAGGCAGATGCAGAACGTCCTGCTGTTTATGTATAAGTCGTATTTTTCGAGTATGGAACAAATAGCTTTAACTACGCTTGATATTATTCAAGATCGTGTGTACCCGCATTTGAGTAGGACGTACGATGAAATCAATTTAATGCCTTCTGAAGTAAGTATAAAGTTAGTATTGTATCGGGTGTCTCAGGAAAACGTACATACCAGTAATAACGACGGTAACACATTACGCGGTTGTGCCGCGTTGGCGCGCGGCGTAACCGCGTAGGGGATTGCGGTTCTACCGCACGATGTTTTTTGGGAACATTTTTGCGGTATACCGCATAGTGTGGCACCGGGATTGGGGTTCTGCCGCATGTCGTGTGTTAATTGTAACATGTCACGGTTGGGTTTCGTGCTGCAGCTGCAGAAAACAAAATGTAATTTCTTCTTTCATATGGTATAGGAATATTTGCTTAATCAGTCTGTTCTTAATTGTCGTTTAAAATCTTTAAAGAAATGATAATTTGCGGACACATTTAGACCGATTATTCAAACCTTTTAATTTTTATTTTAATTCAGCAGGTACCAGCGTCGGTTTTTTTGAAAAACGGCGTCTTCAATCCTAACTTTATACCCATGCGTTTTCGGTACCGTCTAGAATATTTGTCTAGTTTCTTTTTGTGAGAGTTTGATTTAGTTTATGTTAAAGTTTCCAAGTATTAATGTTAAAATCAGTAGTGTACAGGATACGCCATTTTCGAGAGTTTCTCGAGGTATCCAGACAAAAGATAGTGAAGATGCTTCAGACCCTATCTACTTCCAAGAAAATATGCAAAATTTCCATTCAAACAATGCATATACATACCGTGAGCGGAAAAAGTGTGGAATATATTTATTTAAAAATCAGATATTCGTTATTTGAAAAATCGCTCGGACCCGTCGAATTATATTTTTAGTTGCTCATTTTCTGAAGCAATTTTCATTTATACAGGGTGGCACAAAAAAAAGTTATGAAATCAAGGCCAACTTTTTTCTGATCATTTTTTATGTAACAACTTATACCTATCTTTAACCGTTTTCGAGATAATGGCGTTTGAATATACTCGTAGAATGAGGAAAATTTTCAAAAATTACCCTGAGATTCACCCTGCTGGTTTTAATATAAAACCACGTTTACTTTTCCATCTTAGATTTGTGTGGTTCACAGAAAGTTGCTTCAAATCAGAAAAATCCATAAGAAATATGTGGTTCAGTGTTCAAAATTTGCAAAATAACCTGGCTCGTAACTTAAATAGTGACATTTAACAAAATCATATTTTATACAATAAAATTATGCGTTTTTAATTAAATTATACATAAATCCTCACTTATATGTTTTATATTCAAGTCATTGCGGCCTAGTGATCAAAATAAATCACCGAACCACTTATTTCTTATGGATTTTTCTGATTTGAAGCAACTTTCTGTGAACCACACAAATCTAAGATGGAAAAGCAAACGTGGTTTTATTTTAAAACCAGCAGGGTAAATCTCAGGGTAATTTTTGAAAATTTTCCATATTCTATATTCAGACGCCATTATCTCGAAAACGGTTAAATATAGGTATAGATTATGTTACATAAAAAATATTCAGATTTTCATGGAGAACTGAATAAAAATACAAAAAAGTGGGGTTTCCATTTAAAAAAGTTGGCCTTGATTTCATAACTTTTTTTTGGGCCACCCTGTATAAATGAAAATTGCTTCAGAAAATGCGCTAAATAAAAATATAATTCGACGGGTCGGAGCAATTTTTCGAATAACGAACATCTGATTTTTAAATAAATATATTCCATACTTTTGCCGCTCACTGTATATATTTATATAAACAATTAGGTACTTATACAAAGTGTTTTGTTAAACTTCCCAGCGCTACATTTAGAAAATTAATAGAAATATCTAGGTTTTGTAAAAAAATGTTACGTGATACGCATACCCGCAAATGATTTAAATTCTTGAAACACTGAAAAGTGATAATTTTACAGAAAATTATTTTTAAGATGAATCTCAGATCATAGTAGCTTTGGAAGTTTTTTGATAAGTTACACAAACTTGTTTAAATTTTGATACATGAATCAGTAAACCCTCAATTTCTGTTTGATTGTTTTTCTTTTAGGTAGAAAAATAAATCATTTATGCTTGTGCATCCTTTGGAGTAACAATTTTATAACAGAAAAATAAAAAAGGTTTTTAAGGAAAACGAAAATGAAAAACAATTTCTGATTAAACATGAAACTGGATAAAATAATTTTTATTACCATTTTAACCGGTGCGACTTATATACGAAAAAAAAAACATCCATTAAAAAAATATTTCTGCATTCTGCATCTGTAACTTGTTTACATGTAAATACTATACATACTTATTTAAAAAGCACCACAAATTTTCTCAGTTCTGAAAAGAATATTTTTTGTATTGTTTAACAAAGATTAATTTGGAAGTAAATCCTAATAAACACTTTTAAAATATACAAATAACGGATATAAACATACCACAAATTACGAACAACCCTGAATTTACATTTGATCTAGGCTTTTAGTTTGTGACTTTTTTTCATAACTCCTTAAACACCAAATTAATAAAATTAAATTTACTTGCCGCCAAAAGCACATGGAACTCAGACATTGTTGAACAAGTTGGATTTGCTAGGTATTGTTTTTGTTCAGGTAGACATATGTTTAATTTTTACAGACTAAAAAATTTATCACATAAGTAATTGCAAAAACTAAGTAATTTAATGATATAAAAAATGTACACACACTAAGTAAATACCGAAACATGTTCAAGAGAATGAATCATTAAAACTTTTAACGAATTTAAAAATCATTCAAAGCTACTGAAAAATAATGATCTGTGAAAATGATTGTCATTTTGAACATTTGTTGCAGCATGTTTTTTTATAGTTCTATAAAAAATGAACACACATATTTGAACAAAAAGTAAAACTTAGATATTGTACGCAGGAATTCGAAATTCTAACTTTTAAAAAGTAGTAACTTAGAATATTGCTAGATTGCTGTACAATAAACGTCCTGTACAACTCACTTAGAACTAATTCGACCAGGTCATTTGAAGTTTCTCAGAATATATAAAATTTCAGTACTAAATGTTGATTATTATATTATTTTTGGACATAACGGCAAATTAATTAAAAAGGAAAAAGAAAGTTTACTGCTCTGTATCTTGAAAACAAAAAATGATAGATCCATAGTTCATAGTAAAAAATCTTCTTATTTCTTTAGTATTCCATTATTCTTAGAATTTAAGGCACTTTTCTGAAACACCCTATATCTTTTTGTTAAAATATTTTATCGATTTTTAGTAGTAGTTTCAAATAAGACTTGATTCAGTTTTATATAATAATATACAATAATATTCTTTTCAGCACGAAGTTTTTAATATAAAGTTTTTAAATTATTTTTAGGTCAATAAAAATCCATTATTTTTTCCAATGACTGCCCCAAAGTCTCATGGATTCACTGCAGTCATTTTAACATACGATAGAGTAGAGAGCTTATTTCTCTTGACTGAAAGGCTATCAAAAGTTCCTAGTCTTATGAAAATTGTGGTCGTTTGGAATAACCAGAAGAAGAGTCCTCCACCTTGTAAGTAAAGTTTCTCTTTGTTATACAGGGTATTGTAAAGGTGCACTGCCTAAAACACATTCTTTTAAATAACAATAAACTTACTGGTTCTATCAAAATTGACACAGGTAGCTTTTCGATTGTGACAATTTAATCAAAGAATAGTTTTTTCTACACACACAATGGTGGTTAAACGGGGTAGGTAATATAGGATTTTATTTAAAGAAATTAGCGTTACATTTCCGGTAAAGTAATTAATTTATTAATTTTTCTGAAAGACCAAAAGAGATAAAATTCGGAGAAAATTTGCAAAAAACGTTTCTATGCACTTTGACAACAGATTCCGAATATCAAAAATCCCATGAATTGTTTCCAAACATTTCTGTTATACTAATTAAATAAAAAAAAATTAATGAGAAAATTAGTGATGAAATCCTTCAGGCCATATTTAAGATTTATAAAAGTTGAGTTAAAAAAAATCTGAATTTGTATTGCAGAAATAGTGAATTCTCTTACAAATGGATATAATGTATCAATTAAATATGAATGGAATATATGGCACTTGTCTTTAAAATCTGTTTCGTCAATAGATTATTGCTAAAATTTCCAATCATCGAGTTGTTGCCCCAATTTTTTCATTTTTTTATTCCAGATTGTTAAATCTCTGTATCTACATACAGTGTGTCCCGTTTTTCAGGTTAACACCTCTGAAAATGTGAGAAGACTGTGGACTTTCCGCAAGCCAATTTTTTTACAAATAGTACCCTGAAGGGAGGTTATATTCTACTAATCATTTTATTGATGTGACAAAATCCTGGCCTACTACGATTTTTTTAAAGGGTCGTTTTTCCAGAAAGTTTAGGCATTTTTTTATCAAAAAGATAATATCACCAGGCTATTCAACACCCATCAAAATACCCATATACCAAATTTGAACAACAAATGTCTATTGAGTGTTTTTTTATGTGGTTCCAAACTTCAAAAAATCAGAAAACTAAAAATTATAATAAGTAGGTCAAAGATTGCCATGAAAGTAAAAACAAATACCAATCGGACAAAGAAAAAATACAGGCACTATAAATTTAAAATTTTTAATTATATTAATTAATTATTTTTAATTAATTATAAAAATAATAACTTACAAAAAATATAATGAATTGTAAATACTAAGTTGTTAAACAAAAAAATTGTAAAACGTTAATCTAAATTAAATTTTAGTTTTCTCCACCAAACCTTCCAGTCGAACACATTTTTCCAATCCTCTTCTTAAATTTAAAAATAATTTACAGTTGTTGTGGAGTAGTCTCTGCACAAATTTGTCTTATGCAATTCATTAGGTCATCCAAATTCCTTGGTCTGTTTTTATAAACTTTTTGTTTTATAAAACCCCAAAAGTAAAAATCCATAGTTTGAGAAAACTAAAATTTAATTTAGATTGTTTTGCAGTTTTTTGTTTAAGAACTTAATATTTATAATTCATTATCTACATTTTTTGTATGTTAATTATTATTATTTTTATTGTGGCCGCAATTAAAAGTGTTAAATTTTTAGTGTCTGTATTTTTTTCTTTGTCCAATTGGTACTTGTTTTCACTTTCATGGCAATCTTTGACCTGCTTATTATAATTTTTAGTTCCGATTTTTTGAAGTTTGGCACCACATAAAAACACCCAATAGACATTTGTCGTTCAAATTTGGTACATGGGTATTTTGATGGGTGGTAATATTATCTTTTTGATAAAAAAAAATGGCTAATACCGCTTTCTGGAAAAATGACACTTTTAAAAAATCGTAGTAGGCCAGGCTTTTGTGACATCAATAAAATGATTAGTAGAATATAACCTCCCTTCAGGATACTATTTGTAAAATAATTGGCTTGCTGAAAGTCCACAGCCTTCTCACATTTCCAGAGATGTTAACCTGAAAAATGGGACACACTATATCACTTTGAGAATGCTTTATTAACTGTTTGTGAACCTGTCTTCATAGTAAGCTGTTACTTAAAATGATACATTCTATCTCCTGTTTCAGTATGGTGCCATATTTCAAAGATATTTTAAATTTTTTAACATTTTCCTTTTTTAGTTCATTCACTCGTTTTAATTGTACACTCAGTTAATAGAATAGAATAATAGTACAAGTACTAGTACAATTGTTTTTGCCAGATAATCTAAACAAATCAGATAGTTAGTGTTATTAATTATCTTGTCACATTTTAATTTACGATGTTATAAAAAAAAATGTATTTTTTTTTATAGTGACCGAGTTTCCAAAGGTGGCAAAGCCAATAAACGTAATAAAGACAAAAGCAAACAAGCTTTCTAACAGATTTTATCCATATCGGGAAATCGAAACTGAGGCAGTTTTACACATTGATGACGATATTGTGATGCTGACTTCCGATGAGGTAGAATTTGCATACGAAGTTTGGAGGGAATTTCCAGATCGAATTGTGGGTAAGTACAAGACAAAAATTAATTTTAATGTGCTTTGTTATCTAAACGATAATATTTGCTTGTGTTCAGGGTTTCCTTCGCGAACCCACATATGGGACAATGTGACCAACGCTTGGAAGTACGAATCTGAGTGGACCAACGAGATATCCATGGTTCTGACGGGAGCAGCCTTTTTACACAAATACTGGAGTTACCTCTACTCGAAAGACTTGCCTTCGGAAGTAAAAGACTGGGTGGACGAGCACATGAATTGCGAAGATATTGCCATGAACTTTCTAGTTGCCAATCTGACGAATAAACCTCCTATAAAAGTAAGTACTATTTTATGTAATCGAAACTGGTGTAAAAATGACATTAATTATTGAAAATTGGAAACCTTAAGTGTTTATAAAGTATGTAATATAATGATATCTCTATCTCTCAATTTTTATTAATATCATATTTTTATATAAAATATAAGGTATGCCACTTCATATTTATAATTTTTTTAATACGGATTCTGATATAATTTCATTTAGCCACAGTTTGTGCAAAAAGTAATTTTATTGCTTTGTCAATTCTTTTCAAAAATATTTTTTAAATATTGAAAAGTTTTATGGAAATGTGGGTACACATATCTGCAAGTGACTCATTTTAAGTATTACGTCAAAAACGCCAGCCTGATGCCAGACCGGTCTAACAGTTGCAAGCGACCGAAAACAAGACGAATCTGCAACGCTATGGCAGATTGGCACCAGAGACCAGATGCATATACCTGCACACAGAAAGCAACCCTGAGAATTAAAATTGAAAAATCATGAGTGTTAAAATTCTGTAGGTTAAATCAGTAGTTCTCAAACTTTTTTCTCTGAGTGTTCAAAATATAATTTAGCTTACTTTTAATAATTGTAGGTTACATATTTATCATAATAGAATATAAAATTAAACTGCAGTATAGTTAACATTTCTTCCTTAATCAAAATGGTAGTTAACTTCACTGATAATTGAAAAACCAGATCTATTATGGTCTCATTCATAAAATCTAAAAGAAAAAAGCTGTTTCAGAAATGTTTAATTATTGTTAACTAATTAATTCTTAAACTAAAGAGTGACCACAAAAATCACCCGTTTTTTTCACAATTCGCAGAGAAGTAAAGAAAATAGATAAAAATATGTTTTTAGTCTCAAATTACTCGTTGTAAAAAATTAAGATGATGTAGATTTTAGTTTTCTGAAAATTTTCAAAAATCACTCCTATTTAGGGGTTGAAAAGACGCCCAATAAATATAAAAACTATTAACATGTGAATTTTTCTATCGAATGATTCTTGATACAAAGAAAGATTTATTCTCATGCCTGAAATACGCCGCCATTATTCCATGGCTAGAAATTGGCCTCAATGATTTGGGATCGAGGGGGATTATCCCTCTTTATCCTGCCTCATCTCGTGTAGGCCTGGACAGCCTTCGTAGGTGGGCCCCATCCGTCGTCTACCCCGACCGCAAATGCGGCCGGTGTAGGCGCTTTGTGGGACCTCCTTTTGTCCTGGCTGGGCCCCGCCGGCTAGGGCCCTTTCTTCTGGCGCTCTTCTTGCTTCGCCGGCTCGTCTGTGTAAACCCCGGGGGTAGTGTCATGTTTATGTGTGGTATGGTTGGGTAGGGTAGTGCGGCTATGCAGCCTGGGATGCGCTTTGCTAAGGTGGCCCTTAAGCTAGCGCGGGAAGGGAGAGGTAAGGAGGGTATGGGGGTGTGTATGTGTGTGTGTGTGTGTGTGTGTCGTTGTCTTCGTTTCTTGATCCTGGCTGTCTCTGAAACAGAAAAGGTTAGCGGGCAGGGGGGGGGTCATTGGGGTGGTCACCCAGGGTCAAAAAGTTGGTGTCTAGGTCTTTTGTGTTTGTCGGTCACGTCGGGTACGTAGTCAACGGCTTGCCTGAGGAGGGGATTGTCATGTCTAGCGGCTACGTCAAATCGTTTCTCCGCGTTTTGTCTTATTGTCTGTGTAGCGTTTGTGTATTGTAAGTCTCGTAATATGTCAGTGTTTCTTACGTACCAGGGCGCGTCGGTGGCCGTGCGGAGGGCTATGTTTTCCACAGCCTGTAATGACTTTAAGTGGCTTTTTGCCGCGTGACCCCACGCCGTGGAGGCGTAGGTTAGCTGCGGTTGAAGTACCACCTTGATAAGCGTTCGCTTATTCCTTAAACTGAGGGTGTTTCCACCTTTGAGTAAGGGATAGAGCCTAGCCCTGGTGGTCTTCGCTCGCGCCACCGTCTCCACGATGTGCGGTTTCCACGTGAGACGCTGGTCCATCGTCACGCCCAGGTATCGTGTTTGTCGATTCCAGGAGATGGGTTCCTGGGATAGTGTCAGTCTGTCGAGGTTTTGTGGGATTTTTCGTTTGGTAAAAAGGATAGCCGAACTTTTGTTGGGATTAATTTTGACTTTCCACCTGTTGCACCAGGTTTCAAGTTGGTCTAAGGAGTTTTGGAGGAGGGAGACGGAATATCTAGGATCTACGGATTGGGATGTGATTGTCAGGTCGTCGGCGTATAAGTATATGTTGGTGTTGGGGGGATGTGGGATGTCGGAGTTGTAAATGGTGTATAGGTGTGGGGACAGGACGGTGCCCTGGGGGACACCGGCCTCCATGGGACGGGTGGTGGAAAGGGAATCTTGGATTTGGATGCGGAATTTTCGGTGGTGTAGGTAGGATTTTATGAGTTTGGTAAAGGATATGGGATATTGGTTGGTGAGCATTTTCATCAGTAGGCCTTCATGCCAAACCGTATCGAAGGCCTTTGCGACGTCCAGGAAGACAGCACCAGTGTACTGTCCCCTGTTGAAGGCCGCCGTGATGTGCTCGGTAAGGCGAAGGATTTGGAGTTCAGTGGAGTGATTGGGTCGGAAGGCGAACTGCTCGTCTGGAATGACTTGCAGTTCTTGGGAGTGGGTTCTTAGACGGGTTAGGATAATTTTTTCTACCACTTTGCTCATAGCCGGGAGCAGGCTAATGGGCCGGTAGTTGGATGGGATGGTGTGATCTTTGTTGGGTTTTGGGATAAGGATTATGTTTGCTGTTTTCCAGCGGGTAGGGAAGTGTCTTAGTCTGAGTGTCGCGTTTGTTATGTTTAGTAGGGCCATGAGGCCCTTGTGTGGTAGTCGTTTAAGTGTCGTGTTATGTATATTGTCGGGTCCGGGGGCTTTTCTGTTTTTAAGTCTGCGTATTGTCAGTCTTAGTTCGTCAGGTGTTGCGGGGGGGATTATGTCATTGTCTGGCTCTCTGTCGACGCGTCGGGCCGCGCGCTCAGCCACTATCTCGAATTCCTCGTCTTCGTCGGGCAGCTGAGGCAGTCTACACTGCAGTTCCAGGCTATCGGCGAAAGCCTCGGCCTTTTCCTGGTTCGTGTAAACCACCCCCACACTACCGTGGATTGGAGGAATTTTACGGCGAGCGGTCTGTCGCAGGGCCCTCTGCGTTTTCCAGAGGCTGTTGTCTTGTGGATCCAGCGACTCCAGGTGCCTAGCCCAGTTATCCTGGGCCAGTTCATCCAGAGCCGCCTTCACCCGTCTGTTAAGTACGTTTAAGTCATGTCTGTGTCGGGGGAGGCGGGTGCGGGTGGCAAGCCGTTTCGCACGTCGTCTGTCACGTATTAAGTTTTTTATGTCATCGGGGAGGGTGCCCCGGGGGCCTGAAATAAGCATTAAAAAATCCACCCTTAAGCGCGCTCAGGGGGTGGAATCATTCTCAAAAATAGAGAATATCAGAAATAATTGTAAAAATTAAAAAAAAAGTATATTAAGATAATTCATTCAATAGAATAATTCACATGCTAATAGTTTTTATATCAATTGGTAGTATTCAAATTCTTCATTTTTGTCATTTATTTAGCTCCTAAGTAGGGGTGATTTTTAAAATTTTCAAAATACTAAAAGCTATGCTCATTTCAGTTTTTTACAACAAATAATTTGCGACCAAAAACATATTTTTATGTATTTTATTTAATTCTCTGCAATTTGTGAAAAAATGGGCGAAAATCACAGGTTTTTTGCGATTACTCTTTAAAAGTATTATTACAATGGCTGACAGGCTATTACAGAATAATCTCCTGATAATAGTGTTAGTGAATATGGTTGTATCAATAGTATTTACTATATTATTAAGATTCTGTAAAGATTCTGTGGGTTAAATCAGTGGTTCTCAAACTTTTTCTCTGTCCAAAATTGCGTTTAATTGTATTTAGCAAGTAGCTAAATACAGGTGTAGTTAATTTTCCTTAGATCTTAATAGATTGGAAAAACATATCTCTTGGAATGCTTATTTATTGTCTTTACCTTTCTATAGATTATAGATCTTTTGTTGTGTGAACTTATACAATTGTAACCTTTGTTGCATTACTGTCCCAAGTAGGTACTAAAGAAATTTTGAAAACCACTAATGTTTTGTTAAATTAATGATCAGTCAATTACAAATGACTTATGATCCACCAACTGGCATTGTTATTAGTCTTCTTCATAATTTATTTATCTTGATGTACTTTTTTTTCTATCTTCAGATGAAAACCTCCTGAAAGCGTGTCAGAAATACATATGTATGTTCCAATCATTTTATAATTCCAAGATATGGCTAATTTCTATATTTTTTTTATTCAAAAGTTGGAGAACAACTATTAGGGGGAAAATCTTTTTTTAAGTAAGAATTTGTTTTTATTTTTTACCTACAAAAATTATCATTTAAGCCTCTCTTTTTTTACATAAAAAATGGTTGTAGTTGGCCATACAACTGGGCTTCTGATAAGTTTCCACAAGATCCATCCAGTAGAAAAAATATGTTGTGGGTGAGATATAATCTAATAAACTATGCCATATTTTAATTGTCAGTACTACTCAATGCCTGCTGCTACAAAACATTGCTTTGTACATTCGTTTCATAATGCCTGCAAATTAGTAGGTACAGAGCAATGTTTTATGCCAATAGGTATTAAGTAGCAATTAAGATATGGTCATACAGTTATTATTACCACTAGAGATGCTCAGCAAAAGCTCTAGGTATACGATTTGTACGTCACATAAAATAACAATCAATTATAGGAAAGAGGGTAGGTGGGGGAATGTATTGTATGAACATTTCCGTCTCACCAACAGTGAAAGTAACAATATCTTTCATTTAAAAGGGAAAAATATTAGAAATTTTGATACAAATTTTGATAAATATTGTAGGTAATTTTAATTGAATTTCTTATTCATCATTTTATAGAAAATTATATTAGTCTATTGCTGTTTAATAGACATTGCTGGTCTAATTCAATACTGGATAATTCATATAGCCCGGAGAGTAGTTGTTTTATACAATAGGACTGTTAGATCATTAAAATAGGTCAACAAAAAAAACACTTTTATAAAACATTTCTTTACATAAATATAAACAAATAAATTTCTGATCCAATCATAACTATCCATATACTAAGAACAGTTTGAGAACCCCTGACATTTTGTTAAAATAATGATCTCACATAAAAAAACTCTTGTGAATCACCAATCAACATAGCTATACTTGTACTTATCCTATACTTCTCTGATACAAGGTTTTGGTTTAAACCAATTTTATCTTTTCTAGGTTACTCCAAGAAAGAAATTCAAATGCCCTGAATGTACAAACAATGAAATGCTCTCCGCAGACCTTGGCCATATGGTGGAGAGGTCGCACTGCATAAATCGATTTGTTAAGGCATTCGGAAAGATGCCTCTAAAGACGGTAGAATTCCGGGCAGACCCGGTTCTGTTCAAGGATCCATTCCCAGAGAAATTAAAACGCTTTAATGATATTGGCAGCCTGTAAATAGTTTTTTAAGGAGTTATTTAATTTTGTAGATATTTGTACATATTGTAGATATTTTACTGTTGTACTGATTTTTAAACCAGGGTTAAATATTTTTTTTACATGTTTTATTAGTTTTTTATATTATTTAAATGTTTTGTATATGTTGTAAATGGAAGTCAAATTATATATTTACTTTTAATATATTTTTATTGCCTCGTAACTGTGGTTTGTGTATTTACATTAGACAGGGTGTGGCAGGAATAACGCGCTGATTTGGAGGGATCAGAGCTGGGGTGGGATGCGGTGGAGGTACAGCAGTGGGGAGTGGTTTTACATGGACAGCAATATGAGGGTTGCCTTTTATATTTCGGGAATGGACGATCCTGGTGTTGCTATCTGACAACCGATGTCCGTATCGTAAAATTCAAATTTCGTGAAGGTTGTTACAGAAAACCTTGATACTGTTTTCGTGAACTGATATTGCAAGATCGTCATGTGACTTATCATGAGATTGAGGCATCCTTGGCATTAGTGGGACCAGCATACATTCAATATTGCATGAACATTTGGCCGCCAAAAAAATTTGTTTGTGTTGTATCCCACATAATTTGAAAAATGCTCAAAAATAGACTCGTGTCGATTAGTCGAAAGAAATACTCCAGAAATACAATTGCGATGCTTCAAAACACGTCTATGACACCATGACAGGTGACGAATCATGGCTCTATGCGTATGAGGCCTAAGGCCAGGGTCCCATGCAACCGAAATCCGATGTACGATATCCGAAAATATTTTAATTCATACGAATGATATTATTATAATACACATGCATCCGAAATTAATCTCATAGAAATCCAGTATACCGTGCTTTCACGGGAAAACACTACATAGGAGGTGCGTCGGTCAAACTCGTGCGGCTTCAGCGGTGGGGATGTCGATCTCTGTGTGCGCGGCCGTGTGGCGCTGTGGCGTACAGAATCACATCTCACATCAGTCAGGTTGCAGCACCCAGCGCTCCCCACCCTTCCGAACTTACGAATTCGAACGAAGCTAATTCCCTATGTAGCGTTGTACGGTGAAAGCACGGTAGAACCATGGAATTTATTACAAGATGAAGAGGACGAAAAATTTTTAAATGACAACCATATGTATATACATTTGACATTATATAACATTTATTTCACTGTAAATCGACCAAAGAACAATCATAGTTGGTTAAAAACTTAGAAAGTGAGGTTAAAAAACATACGATTTCAGACAAAAGTTAAAAGTATTTGTACTTTTTCCAACGTCATGAATTTTAAAATTTTTGGATGAAATTGAGAGGTAAATATTTGAATGTATATTAACTCATAGGAACACTTTTGGACCTTCGTAACGTGGGAATTTCGATGCATGGGACACCGGCCTAAAGCAGTCGACTGTATGGGTCTTTCAAGATAAGTCAAATCCAACAAAAGCTGTGTGCCCACGAAGCACTTCTATGCCGTCGTCGCTTCTATGCCGTCGTGCCGTCTATGCCGTCGTGCCGTCTATGCCGGTCGAGTGTTTTTTTGAAAAAATTGGACGTGGTAACTGTACCATTAGTGTAAAGTTAGAAGGTCAATTCTGAATGGTACATAACCGTTTGTTTGCCAGAAATCTTCGGAAAAATAAAGGAAACCAGCGAAGACACATAGTTCTTCACCAGGACAATGTGAGCTCTCACACATAGGCTCAATTAAGAGATTTTTTGAGAACTGAAAGAGTTGAATTGATAAGTCATCTGCTGTACAGCCCTGATTTGGGACCCAATGACTTTTTTTATTCAAGCACAACAAAAATAAATTACGAGATCGACATTTTTGAGTGATGAAGCTGTTGATGCGTTCAAAATGCATGTTTTGGAGGTACCTCAATCGAAACAGCAAAAGTGCTTCGAAAATTGGTTCAAGCACATGCTACAGACTATTGATCTTCAAGGAGAATATTTTGAAAAGCAATAAAGCCATATACGATGATTCATTTCATTCATTCAAGAATAACGGATAACTCCATGTCACAGTTGTCACTATTGGTCAGGCGTTAATCCTCACTGGTACATACAACAAACATCATTGGAGCATCAATGTGTGGTGTGGTATCATAAATGGTTGTTATTAATCCATTATTCTTCAATGGTTAGTTAAATGGACATTCTGAGGATGAGTTCCCAGTGTTACTGGAAGATTTTGATTTACATTACATGCAAGATTGAAAATGCGGATTCAGTTGGATAGAGCTTTGCCCAGATAGTTCAAATTCATTTGAATAACCAGTTTTCTAATAAATGGATTGGACATGATGGAGTTGTTACATGACCTCCAAGGCCTCCAGATTTCACTGATATATTTATGGGTTATCTGAAAATGTCTTTCAGCAAGCAACAACCACAAGAGAAAATATGATATACAGAATTTGAACTGCCTGCCAAAATATCTTAAGGCCAGTATTATTAAGAACAGTTCAGCATTTTCAGCATAGAATTGGTTTATGCGTTTAGTACAATGGAGATATTTTCAAGCAATTTCTTCAATTCTTCTGGAGAGGCAAGTGGACTTGCTCTCATCAAGCACCTCAAAAAGTGAGGGGTAAAGGAATTCATACTAAGTAGATACCTACCCCAAAAAGTGAGAAGCAAGAGACTCACTTTAATTAAGCACCCCAAAGGGAACACAACCCTACTATGTCTATGTCATTCACACTTGTTACCACAATGCTCTAGAAAGGTAATTTTGTCCCTTAAGTCAGAACTGTCTATCTGAACGTGAAATTTCCTGCTCTTTCTAGAAAAATAAAGTTGACTTCAATTATTATTAAATAAATAATTATCAAATTAAAAAAAAAATTATCCTCTATTTCCGTTTATATCAGCTACATACCTTTTAGACAATGGAAAAATATAAATATATTAATATTTTGTATATATTTACCGCCCCTTTTATATAATATATAATGCTTTGAAAAACATTTGAGATTGATGTATTTGGAACCCCTGAAACCAAATCCTTCAAAGCCCCCCAGTTTTCTTGACAAAAACCATCCCTAAAATACATCACATTGCTCAGTCAACGTTTGCGACTCTTCTGCTTCGGGTGAACACCGGAAAACCACCTCTGAAACCTAAAAAATTAGTTAAAATTTTTCATTTAGTGCATTCAATTCACAAATTCAAACAACGAATTTATCGCCTGGAGTAAGCAAGATTCGTACAACCTACATAGACCAGCTTATTTAATAGACTACAGACCTTAATTTCTAACACATAGACTGTACATACTATGATAAACTCACTCAGTACCACAGGACCTTTAGGAAAGTAATCCACATGCAAATACATGAAGTGCATTTTCAAACTCATCAAATGTCCTCATATTTTTTTAAATTGTCAATTATTTTATTTATTACTTATGTCTTTGTAATTGTCACTTCTGTTTTTCTATTTTCTATATATTTCCCAAGAAATTTTTAAAGCTGGCCTTTCAATAGAGTTCATTGTTATGAGAAGTTTGTATCTATATTGTACGGATTTGTCGTCCGTCGAAAATTTCTTCTTTCAATTTAGCATCATCTATGTTTTAAAATTTCTTTTATAAGTAGGTACTTCAAACACGGATTTTCTTTATCCAAGGCTTTAACTGACTATTTCAACAGACTAATATTAAAATGAAGAGGCAGAATGAGATCTTTCAAAACTTTTGACTCATTGTATTATACTTGCATGTATATTACTTTCCTGGAAACCTTTGGATAAGAAAGCAAGCAGAAAGCTGTCACCAGGATATGAAAGAATTGGAGATGGGATGCAAATATAGTGTCAGATTCTAGTTAGATGTTAGAGCCAAAAAATATACATATGAATACCATGTGTCAATTGACTGCAATCTTTAGGTGTGGTTTTATTATAATAGAACTTATTTTCTCAACTCATTGACTGCCTTCAGATATTTTAAGTATAGGTACCATGGGGCTTTGGAAATTTGAGCAAGTGGATTGTGCCGTGTGCAATGTTCATGGGGTAGGAGATTTGATTTATTAAGTAATTTCAAGGGGTGGCTGTTTGGTGTTCACCAGAAGCTGAAGGGTTGTAAGGGCTCACTGAATCCTGGAATAATCAAAATAAACAACTCCATGAATGCCATGCGTCGATTCGTTACTGCGACTGTGTCCGAGGAGAAAGCTACTGAATGCAAAGCTTTGGCTGCTTTTTAGTTTTATGAAAAATTATTGGCAATAAAAAAAATTGAATGAACGTTTCTCATGACAAATTCGATTTCTAAGTGTCAAATCTATGGGGTAGTAAGAGTCTCGTAATATTATTCTACTTTGAAACTTATGGTGTAAAGTATTAACTTCTAAAGCTTTTAAATGGGTCATATGAAAAGTTTTATAAAGATTGAACTTCAGTTGCACAAAAAATTTTTTTTATCTAAAATTTTGCATGAGCAGTGAAAATTGTCAACAAAAAATTCTCTACACATGAAGTTATCAAACTCAAGAAGAAAACATCCAATTGTAAATATTCAGGCTCACTGGAAACGCTGATGGTCAGCTTTAGTTCAGTTCAGTCAGTTAAACATCAAAATAGCACAGCGCCTACTCCATATATGTATATTATAAACACTAAATAATTAGGTGTAATATATGTTTGTAGTTTGTAGTTAGATTATATTTCACCCATAATCAAAATATCTCCGCAGATAGACATCCAAACAGTTCCCTCACCCTCACCTTATAAGTTCGAAATCAGTCCAAATCTGATGATTATATTGGTGCAATTCAATGCCGAACGGGGCTTTAGTCCGCAGAGTAGTTGTTTTCGCAATAACAATTGGCTTGAGGCTGCCTTTGGAATAAACGATTTTCCTGTCATTAGAAAAAATAAAATATTATTATCAGAGAACAGATTCAGTTGAGATTAAAATTTCTGTTCAGATATTGCATGGAATGAATTGTTGCATTGATGTTTTAGTCTATTCATTAGTTAAATGTTGAAAAAAGTTGTTATTTGTTCTGTTCCTATAAATATATTCAAAGTAAATAAAACAGGCAGAAACCAAAGGTGAATTACATAATTT